TTCCAAGAATGGATCTGAACACGAAGGAAATCCGCGAAACGCATAATCTTTATATAGAAAGCACCCGTGGAAACCTCAAGAATATTATGTATATTTTATGTTTTATAAAGAATTGCAAATTTAGAATTTTTTACAGATAACACATGTTATATGTTCAATGACATCAAAGTAGCAAGTTTAGGATGTGTGGGTGATACAGTGAATGCACTGGTAGTATATATAGCGAAGGAAGATATAACGTCATACATGATTGGTCCTGAGGATTTTGAATTAATGACTCATATCTTCGAAGTGATGCCGGCAATGGTAAATGATGTGTTATTACGAAGTATTTATTATACAATAATGTATAATCTTATTTTATTATAGTTGAAAGAGTATTGTGAAAAAATGGAATATTATATTCCAAGAACGCAAGAATTATGTTTGGCATTGTACGGTGGGATTTGGTATCGAGCAGTCTGTCTCAATCCTAAGGAATCGCATAGGACAGCTCAAATTTTTTTTATTGATTATGGGAATGTAGAGTTAGTAGAGCATAAGGATATAAGATTAATGCCCAAAGACTTCATTTTACCTCAAGCATTTGCGAATATGTGTAATCTTGTCAGTGAGTATCAAAGTTGTTAATAAAGGTGGAATTATGTTATTCGATTTCTTGAATGACAAGCATGCATGTAGGCATGCCTGTCCTGATGTATGCTACAATTCGTTCATATATTAAACACTGCATACTGATATACATTACACTTTAATAATATTTTCACGTAAATTTTTTATAATTTCTAATTAATGCGAGCTTCGCATCGATTACTTTATAGCTTATTTCCTTGTATGCACTAATCAAAAGAAAAAATTGCTGAAGAAATAATTTCATAATTATTTGTCAAACGTCAGACTGTATGCATTAAAGCAAGCATAGCAACATGCATGCTTATCATTTAAGAAATTGAACATCATATCATTCCATTTTTAACTTAAAGGTAATTCTTTTATTCAAACTTATCTATTGTTTGTGTTACAGATTTAGCACCAGTCGACCGTAATGGACAGTATTCGGAAGCAGTACAGAAGAAATTAAAGGAGTTAATAATGGAAAATTCATTCATCAAAATTAAAATTGTCGAATACTCTGAAGATGGTTGTTATAAAATCGAAGTACCAGAAGTTCGTGCCATGCTAATTAAACACGGTCTCGTGTAGTCTTCGTAAAAATTTTAATTTACGTATTTGATAGATTATGTGATCTTGTGTAGAATTAAGATAATTCTTGATCTTAAGGATTTGACTGTATTGCCATTTATATATTTTAAACAGTGGATATAATTACGTATTTGATTATTATTTTTAACTTACATATATAAACTTTTTATTTGATGTTTCAGTCTACTGTTATCATATTTCGTTTTTCGAGGACTAGTTTTATTTCCATGTTTATTTTATATTTGCAAAAATGTTTTTTTGCTATAAATATTTAAGTTTAAAATAGAAGAGACTGTATTTTTCTTAATAAAAAATTTTCTTAATCGAAACATAGTCTCTCACAGCATTGTTTTTTCCTATATATTTATTAACGATTTTAATGTTATAAAATTATCTTTTCTTGAGTAATTTGAGCTACTTTTATGTATTTTATAAAAGATTATATCTCGTTATTACATATATCGCATATCATAATATCAAATGATAATAATATATATTATTTTATGTATATACAAATGGTGCAACATTATTGGGCGAATTCTAGCCGGCAAAATGGCTAGACGTGCTTGCTGAGCGAATGAGTATAAATGGTCGAGTTCAAGACGTCAAAGCGGGTAGGCATGCTTACCGAGTGATTGAATATGATTGGTTGGATCTATAAGTAACAACCAATTATGTTCATTTGCTCAGCGAAAAGGCTAGCCGCTTTGTCAACTTGAACGCGCCCAATATTGAACTATTCGTAAGATTAAAATATCGAGCTGGTCACAAGTGAAACGATAGAATATGTAAATTGCTGCATATTCATGGTGTCTTCTTCCATGGTTTCATCATACATAGCGTGACAATGGATTGTAATAGATGATGGAATCTTAACCTTTTTCTTTTTTTTTTTTACGATAACCTAACCTCTCTCTAGATATCGGCTGACCGAGTACTGACTGATCGCTTTAACTCAAATGACATCTCGCGCGAGAGTCTTGCTGTTCAAGTAAAAGGCTTCCAATTAAAAAGCGAGAGTGATAAACAATGAATGTGCAAACGAGACACCCTTACGAGGGTTTGCTACACAAATATACAAATGCCATGAAGGGCTGGCAATATCGTTGGTTTATCTTGAGTCCAGAGACCGGCGAGCTGCATTACTTTCTCAGCGAGTCTGAAAAGAATCAGAGGCCACGGTGTTCGATTTATCTAGCAGGAGCTGTAATAGCCCCCAGTGACGAAGATTCTAACACATTTACCGTCAATTCTGCTACTGGTGTGTATCTAATTAAATCAAATCATTGCTGACTGTTTTTCTTATAATAAATATGGATATTTGATTTAATCTGACTATTAAGTTTTCAATATCTTTTCAGGTGACATGATCAAACTACGAGCCACAGATGCACGAGCACGCCAGGAATGGGTAGATAAATTACGAGCTGTCACAGAAATGTATACTAGGGCGATAGCCAGCAGCCATCCTCCATTGCCACCACGAGAACATTCTGGGAATTCGAGTAGGAATCCTGTCGTTAAGCTGGAAGTATTAGATGCCTTTGCTAATTGCCAGGAACAATTGAGAAAAGTGGAGAAGCATAATCTTGCCCTAGCACAATCTATTGAAAACTCGGATTTACATCTGGACTCTGATCTCTTAGTTCTCAAAGCTATGGCGCATACCACTTTGCATACACTGAGCCAATGTCTTAACATATTATATCAGTAAGAAATTAATCATCTATTTTTATGCTTGTCAATATTAAGATTTTTATACCTGCGAATATGTAAGATTATCTTCTCCATCATACAACATCTATACTATTTTGTTTTAAACAATTATGTACTTATCTATAATTAGAGCTGACTTTAGACGTAAATAATTAAAAATGAGATTAATATTTCTTGCTATTATATCTATTTTTTAATAATTGATTGTTATAAATAATTGATTTTAAATAATTAGTTAATTTTTATAAAAAATAAGATTATTTTTTATATATTGTAAATGGAATGTTAATGGTTAGTAGGCCTTTATACTATTTTCATTCGATCATAGAGGAAATACAGTTTTTTTAATTTGTCCCATTGAAAATAAAAACCAAAGGTGCATCGTCTCATTGAATTTTAATAGTAGATTCTTTGAATGTTGAGTTGATTATATTACATTATATAATAAAAACGGGATTTTTTCACTTATTAAATATTTTTTTATGTTAAAATTTTTCTATATTTGATCTTCCTACAATCATGCCATGATTTATATAATATAAATGCATTTTTCTCTACAATGCATATAAAATCAATTGCCGTTTTATTTGCCATTTTAATCTAGGCCTGTTAATGACAATCTCGGTGTATGTTCTTCCAATGTAACAATATCATATAATCGAGAATGTAAGATACATATTATGTATTAATTGTATTAAAACGGTTATATAAAGCATTACGTTTTTTATGTCACAGTCAAAGTGTTAATTTTAGTAAATATATACCTTGACTACAGTAGACTATAGTAAGTGTATACATTTAGGTTGTTCCACCTTTTCGTAAATTTTACCTATGAAGTAAATCTGATAATCCGCGCATGTGATTGGATAATTTTGCTATTTACCCAACAGGTAAAATTTATCAAAAGATGGAATAACCGATCCTTATTGAATTAACGCTTTGACTGTAACATCCGTCAATATATATGTGCATATATATATATATGCGTATGTGTGTATGTATATATACTATACTATATATTAAGCAGAATAATACATTCCCTTATACTTTTATTTACTTCAAATGAGAACTGATACAAAATATGTTATTTGTTTCTGCGTTCTAACAACGTAAATGTTGCGTTAATACGTTTATATTGATACAATCACGAATTAGTATGGTATCGTTTAATTTTTGCTATTGTAAAGTATTAAGAATCTTAATTAATTAAAGTATTACTCCATCTCTGCATATTATAAAGACTGCTAAGTATGTATATATTATATAAATTAGAATATAATGTATGGTTGTACGAAATGCAATTTTCATTGAAAATATTATTTCCGAAACGTTGATGTATATTAGAATAAAAAAGGAAAGCGATGTGCGTCTCATCGTAATATGACGTAAGATTCAATGTCAAGAATGTGTAAATGGGTGAAGGTAAACAAGTAAGTGACTTTTCTCTTTCGCTAAGAGATCAGACGCGACTCAGTGCTTCCACAGCAGTACTGCTCTTGCTCAAGGTACTTTGAAGATCAAAATGAATTAATACGTATTGAGCGATAAAGTCCATGAATAAATTGCGAATGTTTATTCGAATTTATTTGTATGTTATACTCTGTTAAGAAAAATTCATGTGGTTGAAAGTGAAGTTGAAGAATGTTATGTAAAATAACTTTTACTCTTCATACATATATGCAGTATTAATAAAAATAATAATAATAACAATAAAGTGCGAAAAAACATGTCACATTTTTCGTATCCTGAAGTTTTGATGGAAGCGGCAGGCGTGAAAATCATGATGTCTCTGCCCAAAGAAGATTTACTTCCGCCAGGAAAAATAGTTCTTCAAATGCGGAAAGACAATGTGGAATCATATATACATGGTAAATCTTATGGATTTCATTTAACCAAATCAAAATGGGATCCGTATCCGTGGATCAGCTATGTCGAGAATAATAGTCCTGCCGACTTAGCAGGATTAAGGTGAGTTTTACCTGATTTTAAAACCTACTGAGTACATGTATATCATAGATACAAAAGTTTAAAATGTATATACTATATATATATTTTTTAAGTTATATATTGATATAACACATAATTTTATAATATTAAATCAAGTATAAGTATATTTTTGCGTAAATTAATTTCACATAAATTGTTTTCTCATGTTCCATCAGAGCGGGTGATTGTTTATTGAGCATTGACGACACCGATTTATTGGGGCTAAAGATCAAGGACGTTGCTACTTTAATTCATAATGAGGAAGATGTGCGAGATTTAAATTTTTTTATTTGGAGGTACATACATCAAAAAGAGGAACAGAATGATAGTGGGCTAGCTCTGAAGGGTCCACTTCCGAATGTAGCCAGAAATCTTGCAAATGCATTATCAGGAACGGTGCGCATGTACATTCTATAACTCAAAATATGGAGTCACTGTTTTATATTTTTCTTATTTTTATAAATCATTTATTAAATTAGCGATTATCGTTTTAATAATCATTTATTTTTTATATTATTCATTGAATTCTTATTATTAGTCTTTTATCATTAACAACGCACAATTAATCATTAACTGATTAATCTATTATTAAATCCAAGAAATTAATATTATAAAATTAAAAATTGTAAGCTACAATTACATAAACATAATTTTTTCCCTCCATATCAGTTGTAACACAATTAAATTTTTTAAATACTAATTAAAAATAAAATTATCGAATAAAGCATCAATTCACGTGTTTGTTATAAAGTTTTCCTTTTTAGGTCCGTGCCTTGGAATGCCCGATTTGCTTAGAAAGCGCTGCGCCTCCAGTCTCACAATGTGTTCATGGTCATATTCTGTGTGTCATCTGCAGGCCGAAAACGACGCGTTGTCCGGTCTGCAGGGTCCGGCTTGGCCAAGGCCGATGTCTTCTTGCAGATAAATTGCATAGAGCACTTCGCGATGCCTTTAACGTGGATAATGACGAGAAAATAGACAAAACATCTGTTATAACCGATCGTTGTAACTTACGTGATCAATTGTTTGGTAAAAGTAGCAAGAAGCAACAGACTCCAATTATAAACCAGTCAAAGAACAATTGTACTGCTTTGAAACCGAGACAATTCTTATTAGCCCGATTGTTGCTCGGGGGCAGAGAGAAAGCCGCCTCCGTGGATAATCTAATTCGAGTATCTGACATGTCGGAAGAAACCGTGGCGATTCCTAATCGAGATACTAACAGTTTACGCGTGAGATTGAATGATCGCACTAAATCAGCCAGTACCGGCGAATTGTCGAAGAACAGCGAAGTTCGCATTAATGACTCTTCGCAAATTGTTGAATCGTCTGCGGCAAATGCTAGTCACCAATCGCTAAGTTTACCTGAGACGCCAATTTGGGGTGGCTCCACGGATTCTGTGTCTTGTATACAGCTGACATGTCCGCTTTTGCAATCTTGTACAGAAGTAGTGATGTCTGAATCTCTGCTGGAACACATCAAGACTCACAAGGTGCCACAAATTCATTTCTATTCTGGCAGCGCAAGAATTCCTCTTCCGCTTCCTTTCGGACGCGACGCTCTTTACATACTCCATCATGGAAGCAACATGTTTTTCTTTCAGGTATAACATCTTTATCTTTAACGAAACAATTCAAAGTTCGTATTATTTCGTTGTTTCAATTATATTGTACGTATCTCTAATTATATGGAGAAAGTATTTATTATTTCTAATGATATTCTTTCATTTGGATTAAATATTTATCTGAATGTATATAAAATTTACTGTATACTTTAGGATACACAATTAATTATAATTTGATGTCAATCTTAATGTTAATTAAAAATATTCGTATATATTGATATCAAAATTGTATATATACAACGGAAATAGAGAAAATTTTATATACTCTTTTAAGATACATATTAAAATTCAGTCATTTTTTAATTCAGAATAAATCATTTTTTATCAATACAATCATCAATTTTAATCAATACATTTGTATACGTGTATAAAAACGGAACAAAATAGAAAGTATTTCGAATGTACGAGATAAAAAAATATAATATCCGTGTGAATCAAGATTCGATTACTTTATCTAGCATTATTAAACTTTGATAATGAAGTTTTGCAAAGAATTCACATTATAGTCTATATTTTTATCTTAGAAAATGCTTTATATTACATAGTTCATAGACAAAAATACGCGGAATAACTACTTTTGCATAAATATAAAAATTATATTATTCTTACATAGTATGAAGATGAAATAGCATGGATGACACATCCTGCTAAGATGACGTATTCAAACACATGGGAATGGATATTGCATGCTTGGGATGACAATGGTACAGAAATACAATTACGAAGGCACGTAGCGAGTCTCGAGAATTCCACGACATTATCTTCGCAGCATATTGCCCCATTGCCAAATGCATTATTGTTGAAAACCATTGAAATACAAATAGAATATGGAGCAAACGATAGATTATATATGTGAAGAGACCGATATATTTGTTATTCTCAACAAATTTGTTATTATACACTTAATTAATGCAAAATGTATATTAAAAGAACGTACAAAAAATATACATAAAAATTATATAAAAAAGTAACAAAAGCATTTATTTTTCATTAATACAATTCATTTAATATGTGATAATATATAATGTGTTAATTATTTCGAATGTAAAGTACGAGGGTTGTTTGAAAAGTTTTGAGCCTTCACATGAAAATGGCATTACTTATCAAAATCCATTCAAGTACTACAATCGTACATGTTTTGCAAAATATCTGTGAAAATTGTAGCCATTTTGAACGCTTAGTTGTTTGAGTCATTTGTGTCAGTCGATGTCAGTGTTTCCGTTTAATGAATATCTATCTTCCGAACCTAACTTTGAGCCTAGGAAACAGGAAAAAGCGTTAGAGATTAGATCTGATGAATACGATAGGTAGTTAATTAATTCGAATCGTAATTCGTAAATTTTTGTTACGATCATCGATATTCGATTTTTCCATTTTGCAAAAAATACAAAGGTTATTTGCTTTAATCGTCTATAGAAATGAAACCACGCGATGATTCCGCTTAAAATTTGACAATAATTAGCTGAAAGATGCTACTTGTCAAAAAGTAATGTAACATAACACTGCGAGTGTCCCGACAGATTTTCTAAGAACTTATTAATTTGCCCGTACAAAAACACTGACATCGACTGGCACAAATGACTGTCAAACAACTGAGCGTCCAAAATGACTACAATTTTCACAGGTATCTTGCAAAATATGCACGATTGTAGTACTAGAATGAGTTTTAATGAGTAAAGTCATTTTCATGTTGAGGCTCAAAACTTTTCAAACGACCCTCATATAAGTACTTATTTAAAATCTTAATTAATGAGCATATACTAATTATTGTAACATTACGCAGAATATTTCAAAATTTACGAGTCACAACAGAAAATTAAGTTCTAGTAAAACTAAGTAATACAAGTTAGGCCATGTTCCTATATGCACTGCCAATACTGAAAATCTATAATTCACGTTACTGTATACTATAGATTTTCAATACTGGCAGTGTATATTGGAATACGCCTTTAAAAACTAAAAAATAATAAAATTATTTAAAATATACTTAGTCTATAGATATTGCGAAGATATTTACTCCAAAGGAACATACACATACATATTCTATTCAGTACAATAATATAAGAAAACTTGATTTCTGTCAAGAGTCTGTTTTATTTCTATCAATGTAGATTAACTTCAATCTCTGTTCAAAACTTACTCTTCATCTTTTTCTAGCTCTAAAAATTAGAAAAAGATGAAAAGTAAATTGAACTGAGATTGAAGTTAACTTACATTGGTGGAAATGGACATTAATATTAATAAGCATTTATAAAATATAT